TTTAAATAAAATAAAATGCTTCTCCCAAACTGAACTGGCAAAGATGAAAAACAAATACAATACATTTCCCAGGCAGATTTGGCCCCTGTGATCATAGTCCTGGGAGAGTGTGGTTGGAAACCCTACAAACACAGCGAATATGAATTTGCATAGAGCCAGCCGGTTTTACCACTTCAATGATCTTACGGTTTCCTCAGGGTTTCCATGGGACTCAGGAGTAAAATTAGGATAAAAACTATACACTTCATAGGTGGTGGCGAGAGTCAAAGGGGGTACTGCCTATTAAATGTTTATCAGAGGGCCTCTTGCTCTTTTAGCTACTGGTCCTATTAAATTGGTAAAACATTCAAAATGACAATTTGTCACTATATACTAAAAGACTTATCCTGTTGCATAACTTTTGATCTATCAATTTACTTCTAGACATTATTTCTGAAGAAGTTAATACAAATGCTGTAGCTGTAAGGGTATTGATGAGCCTTATCTATAACAATGAAAGTTCATAAATAATACAGTGTGTTACACAATAAGGGATTAATGGAATAAATTATAATTTGTCCACTAATAATGATGTATCCTGTGTAGGTTAAGAAGTTACTAGCTATTTGGCCAGTGGTTGAGCATTGACCCATGCACCAACAGGTTGCCAGTTCAATTCCAGGTGAGGGCACATGCCCAGATTGTGGGCCAAATCCCCTGTGGGCAGCATGGAGGAGGCAATCAATCAATGTTCTCTCTCCCTCTCCCTTCTTCTCTCTCTAAAATCAATAAAGAAAAGAAAATGTTTAAAGTTACAAGCCAATAGGTAGCAAAAAAAAGAGAAGTTAATTTATTTGGGTTTTAAACAGTGAGGATGTCTTAGTGAGTGGAGCAATATGTCACCAATAGTGCAATTAGAACAGTATTGGTGAACCGTAGAGATATGAAAATGCACAGAACATGCAGAGAATGGAAAATTATCAGACATCTGTCTAGAACACAAGGAATTAGTAGAATATCAAGGAAGACTATGCTGGAAAGCCAGAAGATAATACACTTATAAAGGGCTTGGTATATCATAACTAAAGACTTTTTTACTTTATTTTTTGGACAGTGGAGAATTGTTGAAGATGTTACTCAAATTTTAATTGTAATGTAAAATGTATGAGATGTATGAATGAAATTCTGTAAGACATATGGAAATAATGAGATGTTTTGAGCACACAGGTGAAAGATAATATAAACCAGGATAAAGATAGGGGCTCTCACTGTGAAGGAACTTCAAGGTAGGAGTCAAGGGACATCACTTTCATAGAAATACCAGGGTTTGGTGACCAGTCAAACTTCAAAAGTGAAGTGTGTGTTAGGTTTCAATTTTGGATGATTACGTGAAAGGGGAGAAAATGAGTACATCTGAAAACAGTTGAGATTGAGATGCCTGCAGAGATTGCCAATAATTAATTGGCAATAGATTCTAGAGCTCAGAGATGAAGATATAAATCTGAGTCATTAACATTGTAGGGGATATAGAAATGCTTCCAGGAACCTATGTCATCTTTTCAGAAATATAGAGAACACAATCCCATAACTTCTAATAACACATTATCTACCAGTAAATGTTAAGTTCTTTCACATGTAAAAATATGTGTTCAAGTTTAATTAAATTCCTTTTTATTTTCATCCTTCTGAAAATGTTTAATGATCATCATTATATCACTTGCTAGTAAAAGAACACTGCAAGAACAGATAGGAGTAGACCAGCTAATTTTATCTTTGTTATTTTAGATAGGAGACTTTTATTAAGATTTTTAAAAGAGCACCTCAAGATGACTGTGTTGAATGTAATAATAATTCTCCACTTTCTATCTTGTTTTCTCCAGTATTCCTGCCACAAAAATTTTAATGCATTCTTTGATCTGTTTATGTGACTAGTTTTTATTAGGTACCAATTATATCCCAAGCCCGGTGCCACGTGCTAGGCATACAGAGAGGAAAATATGCTGGATATATAAGTGTTTAAGAAAAATATATCCAACAACTACTGAGAAGTAGTTAGTTTATTCTTGATATCTCCAGAACTTAAAAAAAGAAAGAAAGAAATAACTACCAGAACTCTTGTGCAAGGAAATATGTTTAAGGTATAATTGTCAACAAAGATAAAGAACCTTCTTTAGAAATGTGAGTGGAAATGCTGAAAAACAATGTTAACATGTGTTATGACTTTTGTGTAAAAACAGGAGAGAGAAATTTGAATATTTTATGGATTGAGGCTACTTTTAAGAATTCAACACTAAATAACCATAAAAATAGATGCTGCTTCCATGGTAACATAAAAGAATAGCAATAAAAAAAAAAAACACAAAGAAGGTAGCTCTGAGAATAAAATCCTAAAATCAGTTCTTTTTTTCAAGTATGTCTGCAATTTAAACATGCCCCTACTATTAAAGATCCTAGAAATATTTAGTTCTAAAATAAGTATAAATCATAATAGGGTTTTATATAATGGGTTAGTTTTTCATAATATATATTTGTTAGAGCAACTGGAGAGGCAGTTTATTTTATTAAGCTTAACAACATGAGAGGAAGTGCTGTGCATTGATCTGGCCTCAGTCTCTAAATGAACATTTTATTTTCTTATAGAAATATAAAGAGAAATAATTACGAACATAAACAAAAACAATAAGTAAAGAAAATGATTAATGGCAATAGACCAATTGTACTGAATGTCTAGTATATGACAGGCTAGCATTAGTTGTTTCTCAAATTTTACTAATCTTTACAGGAAAAAAATGTGGAAAATCTTGTATTCACTGGATAGATAAAATATTAAAGCTCAAAAATTTTATATAACTTATTATAAGTTACCCAGGCCAGACGAATGCTGTAAGATGATTTTTTTTTATTCTCAACAGTTCATTTTTCTCCATTTTTGTTTAATTATAGAAGTAATACATATATACAAAAAAATGTGGGGTAGAAAGTAAAATTTCCTATTCCAATTCAATCTTCTCACCAGAGGTAATCTATATTCCAGATAGATTTCTATACATATCTAATAGATTATATAGGTAATCTATATTCCAGATAGATTTCTATACATATCTAATAGATTATATAGGTAATCTATATTCCAGATAGATTTCTATACATATCTAATAGATTATATAGTGTTCTATATAAATATAGATATTACAGATACAGTGCAGTAAACCCTAGATTTTGCAGACTTCAATATAACAGACTTCAGATTTAAAGGATAAAATTTCTGGTACATATGTCATATGTGAAAATTAACACCCTGTTAATTTTAAAATGCTTTTAACCAATATATTTTTATAATTAAATTAACAGGTTATTTTTTGTTATTAATTCAGTTATTTCTAACAAATTTTAGTGAATAAGCCATATGTTGGGAAAAACACTAGTAATTTCGCTGACATAAATAAATATTACACATCTACAACTATAGTCTACATATTTATATCTAAGAGTCACCACACCTAAACAATGTTTGGCAAATGATTAGCATGTTATCACACCACATCCCACACAGTAATTGGTTCTGTTGTGTGGTGTGACTTGCTGCAGCAATTTAAAAAAAATTATTTTTTCTTTATTGATTTTCGAGAAACAGGAAGGAAGAGGGAGAGATAGAAACATCGATGAGAAAGAACATCGATTGGCCACCTCCTGCATGCCCCACCACTGGGAATTTAGCCCACAACCTGGGCATGTGCCTGGACCTGGAATCGAACTGGTGACCTCTTGGTGCATGGGTCGACACTCAACCAGTGAGCCACACTGGCTAGGCTCTGCAGCAATGTTAATGCCTGCGGCCGATGTTCCTACATGCACCAAGCCCAGCCATGTGCATTTGTTCACTCAGGGTGACTGGTAAATGCAGCATTTACTAGACCTATTCAGTATAAATTTAAAATTACTTTAATACATATAAAACAATTTTCTGTGCAATTAAATTTTTCATATATAGTTACCTTTAATTATACAATGTGTCTATCTAAGTAAATACAGGTAAACTAATTTATTAATTTTTTTAACATATGCATTTGGAAAAACTACTTTATTATATCACTTATATATATTATATAATTTATTTATATAGTGGACTTTCGGCTTTAACAGATACACCCTCGCCCACATTAGTCTGTCATATTGAGGTTCTACTGTATGCCATAGAGAAAAATGTTCACATATGTTTTTCATAAATGAGATCATTCAAAATAATTTGTGCTTTGAATTTTTTACCCTCTTTTCAATTTTTTTTTGGTATATGACCTGGCGGGAACCAAACCCGGGACTCTCTGGTCCCCAAGCCAATGCTTCAATTGCTGAGCGAAGTCGGCGAGGGCACCCTCTTTTCAATTTTTGATGACATATAGTCTTCTCTCATTTTGGTAGCTATGTAATATTCTGTACTATGAATATACCATGATTTATTAAATATTCCCTCTTGGTAAATATTTAGTTGTTTTCATTGTTTGCATTATAACCACAAAGGTCTCCAGTAAACATTCTTCTACATGTATTTGCAGACATGAATAAGTATTCACGTAGATGAAAAATATTGGTTTTAATTTCTATCTTGTCATTAAATTGATAATGTAGAGACATTATGATATCTGTAGGTATGAGGTTTTAACTAATTGTTTCTTTTTTCACTTCACTTATGAATCCCTGAGATTTTGATATTATACACTTTGTCCTCATTTGCTCATATATGGTAAGATGAAATGGGTCTGTAACACTTGGCTGTCCTCATTACTGTAGACTCATTGAAAGCGTTGCCCTTTTAATTTAATTCTGTGGTGCTTTCTAAAGAAACTTGGGACAATAAAATAGCCTAATTAGTTCTCAATTTGAATGTCTATTAGTTTGCTAAACAAAGTCTTTATTGCAATTGACTTGTAAGAAATTATCTAATTTGACAGTTTCACAACAATATATTCATCCTCCAGATATGAAGTTGATTTAAAAAAACAAAAACAAAACACAGAGTTTACCTGATTGCCTCCCATCCCATGACAGTTGAATATGCCCACTTTTTCATTTTCCTTGCGGCCCATGTTGTCTAAACATTGATTAGTCTCAACATTTCTTATCTAAAGGAAACACACACAAAAGCACAAGTCAGATAGAGATGCAAGTCAGAAAATCATATTATATATTGATAACAAAAGGAATCATATTTGTAAGGAAATTTCTCTAAGAAGAACACGTTGCTTTAAATATGAATTTTTCTTTTTCTGTGTCCATTCTCAGATCCCTTTGGGTTTCTAAACTCCTACTGAAGTAAACTTGATAGCCCGTGGTGTTGTCATTGGTGTCTAATCAAGAGGCACTACTTGTTTACAGTATAGTGTCAGAGAAGAAGGAAACCTCACATGTTACAAATTAGGAGTTCTTCCCAAAATCCTTTAAAAATTAGGACAGTTTCCAAATTCCACTCAAATGACCATAGTCAATTCTTAAACTTTCCATAGTACCATATGCAAAGAAATAGAAACAAATTGGTTAACTATTCAAATTTGTGTTTTTATAGATTGCTTTATTATTAGATGATTCACTTTACATATTAATAAAGATTAATTGCATTATTTCTGTAACTACAACATATTCATGCATCTTTTGTCATTCCTAATCCCAACCTTGATGAAAGCAGTGATCCTAAGAAAACCTATTACAAAGCTAAATGGTGATTTCATATTAAAAATCCACTCAAATGCAAGATTAAATTGGTAACTTCAAACATCAGATTCTTAGTTTACAATCAAACACTACATTAGTCCCATAATTAACATAAATTTAATACATATTTGAGCCAAATTTAATTATCAAAGCCAGTCACTGCGTTTAAAAATGCTAAAGTTACTAAATCATGTACAAATGAATGCAAGAAAAGAAGAAAAACCTTTCTAATATATGAAACGTTTTCAATTTTTTTCCTTGGTTCCAACCTCAAATATGTATTTATCATACTTGTCCACTCTCCTTCCAAAAAGTTCTTGTCTCTGATTCTTATTTCAATACGCATATTGTACTGTTCACTTATGCATTATTTGGATATGTCTATTTAGTTATCTGTGCTTTAGGTACATATTTATTCATATTGGCAAATGAATAAGTTTAAAAACTTATATAGGAGATGGATTAGATGTATACAATTCACTTTTTTGTATGGTGCAGAATGTCATGGTCAATTTCCTGGAATTGGAGAAAATGATGTGATTTGTATTAAGGCCCCAGTTGGTAGCTGAGAACAGTGGGGACTGGAATTCACACTTTGAGCAATTGAGCCTGTTCCAGTGGGTTGAGATTGAGAGCAGGTTCCAGATGCTTTCATCAAGAAATCTGAGTGGCCACCCATTAGTAAGGACAGAACACACCGTGGCTATTAGAGGGAAAGGATATAAGCTTCAAGAAGCAAAATTATGTCCAAGTCCCACACTGATGGGCTTAGGGCTAAAATGTACTCTCCGTCTGATTGCAGTTGGTTCAGGCACTGGAGGAGAATGAGCCAACTGAGTAAGGCTAAAGCTTTTCCAGAATCTGTAGCTGCACAGGATTGAGGAAGGTAACAATCGATAGAGGATGTAGTAAACCTGCTGCCTATGTTTTACATAGTCTGATTAATATATAACATATAAGTTGAATCATTTTTAAATCCCTTACATCGGGTTTTTTATTAACTTCTCATAAAAAAGGTGTACTTCTTAAGAAACAATAAAATTATTATTATGACTTATCATTGTAAAAAGTATAGACTGATGTAATACTAGAACACTTAGAGGAATAAACATCTCACTGAGTGAACAAAGTAAACACAGTCCCTTCCATGATGGAGCATACATGTAGAAGGGGAACAGCACAGTACACAAGTACATTTGTAATATGTCAGAAGATCAAAAAGTCCTACAAAGAAATATAAAGTACCGTAAGGGTAGAGAAAGTAATGGTGGGGGAACTATTTTATTTTCTTTTAATTTTTAAAAATATGTTGTTGTTGTTGTTGTTTTATCCTCACCCGAGGATATTTTTCCATTTTTTTTGTACAGATAGAGTGGGAGGGAGAGAGAGGAAGGGAGAGAGAGAGAGAGAAACATTGACTGGCTGCCTCCTGCACGCCCCCTACTGGGGATCGATCATGTGCCCTGACCGGGAATCGAATCAGTGACCTCTTGGTGCATGGGACAAGGCTGAATCCACTGAGCCACACCAGCTGGGTGATAGGGGAATTATTTTAGATGGGGGGGGGTGGTCCAGGAAAGGCCACTTTGAGAAAATGTTACTTGAAAAGACGCCTTATTGAAGTCAGAAAGCGGCCATATTTCCATCTATGGAAGAATATTCCAGACTAGGAGAACAGCACACAGATGGCTCTGCAGCTGAGAAACCAGAGAAATGTAGCCAGGGTACAGTGAGCGAGGGGAAGATTAGAGAGGTATCCAAGACTAAATAATGTGAAAAAAACAACAACAAAAAAACAAAGGTTTTTGAGGAGAACAGTGACTGGTTAATAGCTTACTCTGGAGAACAGATTAGATGGAGAAGTCTAAGCAGGAAAACAAAGGAGGGGGCTATTGCAGTTCCTCCAGCCAGAGACGGTGGTTGCTTGGACAAGTAGGACAATAATGGAGGTGGATAGGAGAGAGTAGGTCAAATTTGGCATGTTCTTAAGGTAGAACCAAGTAGGACTTGCAATTAAATTGAATATGATCTATGAGAGAAAGAGAGTCACCAAGAAGTGTTCCGAAGTTTTGACTGGAGTAAAGGGCAAATGATGTTTCCATTGACTGGGAACAATATTCTGAGTTTTGTATACTTTGCTAAAATATATCTGTGGCCTTTATATTTAAAATCCCATTTGGCAGATCTGAAATCCTTGGCTCACATGTGTCCTGGAGTACCTTCAAACATTAGCCTATTTGCTACCAACATAAATAGCTGTTTTCTAAAAACCTGATGATAATCTGGTTTTCTTACCCTAATTCTTACAAATGTCTGTTTGCCTGAATGCCAAACTGACTGTTTTTATTTTTGTTTTTTTTTCTTTTCTTTAAAGTACAATAGAGTTATATACTATTATATCTTAATATTGTCCATCCTGGGTCACTCTTCAGACATGTGGTATTCCTTTTTAACATGGAGTTTCAATTTTGTTTTCAAGAAAGTTTCCTTGAATTATAGTTATTAATGCTAAGTTTGTTTTATTGCTTTGATTTTTCATACTAGAAAATTCTTTTATTTTGGATCTTGTTGCTTATGTTCTATATACATCATTTTCTACTGAATAGTTTTCTTTTTCTTTTTTATTTATAAAGCCATCCTTTTCCCCTTCTAAAACTCGTACGGCATTTTCTCCTGAGATTGTTGACTCATATGTTCTTCAAGTTTAGCCTTCATTTTAAAACTGTTTTATTCTTCAACTTTTCATTCTTTTCACCATTTCAGAGGTTTTTTTTTTCTTCATAAATTTGGTTTTTAGTGTTCTTTTCCATATTTTATCATTATAAAATTTCTTTTACCTTGTTTTGAAATTTTAGGTTACACTTTTCCTGTGCCTTATGAGCACCATATTTTGCTGTGTTTGTATTGTTCATAGAGATATTATTCTATACTTTATTGTATTTATTCTTATTATATTCTTTTTTTTTCCTGAAGTCAATTCTTCTTATCTTTTAAGAGGGAAGATTTTATCAGGAGATCCTTTCTATCTCTCTCTCTCTCTCTCTCTCTCTCTCTCTCCCTCTCTTCCCTCCCTCCTTCCCTCCCTCCTTCCCTCTCTCCCTCTCTTCCTTCCTCCCTCCCTCCCTCCCTCCCTCCCTCCCTCCCTCCCTCCCTCCCTTCCTTCCTTCCTTCCTTCCTTCCTTCCTTCCTTCCTTCCTTCCTTCCTTCCTTCCTTCCTTCCTTCCTTCCTTTGGAATCACCTGGCATCTTAAAACTATTCCCATGCCTAAACACTCCCATGTAATTGGTATAGGGTATATATAACCTGGCCATCAGGTTTTTGTTTTTGTTTTCAATTTCTTCAGGTGATTTTAATATTCAGCAAAGTTTGGCAACTACCATTCTGGAGCAAGGTATATAGCGTTTTGATGATAAATGCTGACATTCCAATTACACTCCCTTTGAAGTAACTTGTTTTCAGGGGTTCCCGACTGGACTGCCCAAAAGATTCACTTGGAAAGCTTTTAGAATATTTTGATTGACCTCACCCTCATAGATGTTTACACAGATAGTCTGAAGTAGGACAAGAATGCAATTTCAAGCTCCCAGCTGATTCGAATGTATAATTAGTGTAGAGACCCCTCGTATCAAGAGAACACAATGGGGTATATGGTAGCTGGAAGATTCCATTTTGTGAATCATTTTATTCACTGAATGCTGGTGGAAAGTCAAAGGGGTTTTCATACAAAGCCGATTCCGTTAGTACCCAGTGCGGGGGTTTAAGGGTAAATGTTCCAGCTGTCCATGGAAGAAATGTTTACACAGGAGAACATTTCTAAATTCACAAGTCTCAATCTCCTGTTCCGATACTTTTTGAAAACTTGAAAAAAATTTATTTTTTGAGATGCCCAAGCTCTGTTCATCTTTTCTATTTTTATTTGGAGCTTCCATTTCTTTTGTCCCCATTGTCCCTACCTCCTCAGTTTGGACTTTATTCCCTCACATTCTCCTGAGGAGAAACTTCAGCTACTGAGTTTTAAGAATTCACCGGTCACAGTGTTCAGACTGCAGACACTAGAAAGGAGACTTTTCACTGACTTACAAATTAGATTTATAAAAACACCTCTTCCAGTTTTAACTGTTATCCAATTGCCCTGAATCAATTTCTCATGAGTATTTATTCATAATTTGGGTGTTTTTCTGGTCTCATTTCCTTCATTCTCCCCATTGCTCCTGTTTGCTTCCTGCTGTGGAGATTGTAGTACCATATTGTAGTGCCATAAAATTGACAGCTTGTATTTTGGGGATTTGAGAGAATACCTTGTCACCTAATTTTGTTGTCAGCACTGTCCATCAATTTTTGGGTTTGCTCTCCGGGATGCTTCTGTTTCCATTGGGGATTCAAGCACATGCAAGCACTATGTCACTACTGCCA